AAGATAACTCTACGCACTGTTGTGGTTTCGCGAGGTAAAAAAATATATAATAAATAGTACTTGTTCATTATTTGGTTTTACAGCCCGCAAATTACGGGACATGATCCGGTGAATTGCTATAAATAAATGCTGATTGTGTTGAATGACGGACGTCGGGACCGTTTGAAGAAACCAACGGAGATCGATATTCCAAGCAAATTATTGGGACACAGTCGATGGATCTTTCAAACAAATGAAATTATCAACGAAAGATGAGGTTTTTCTAGATATTTACGAACAAATATATACCAAATATGTGCACAATTGACAAATACACAAAGACGTGTAATATTAGGTTTTATTTTAGCCTTTATTTAATATTTTATTTCACTCAGTCCATGCGTGGGAGTTCTATTTGGCTTCATTGTCCTTCGGTTTGTCTTCTCCTTTGGGGAAAACAACAATAATTCGAATTTACGACATCAGTGGACCAAAGCCGTCAAGAACACCAGGAAATATTGGGATGGACCTTCTCCTCATAACGTTATCTGCAGTGCAAATTTTACACCCGAATCATTTACATGTATTATAATATCTTTATTGATATTCACATTAATGCTATGATATTGGATTACTGTAAAATACTTTATTTTAGCTGGAATTCATTTTCGCTGAATAGAATTTTTGGGTGTTTTGTATGGAATTTATTTTCACTGATTTTTGATGAGTTGAATGTAAAATATAGGAAAAATGATATATTCGCTGGATTTTATTTTCACTGAATTATTCCTTCAGCGAAAATTAATTCCAAGCGAAAGTAAAGTATTCTACAGTATGTCAATCTGCACGAGTGGGGGAATTTAGACCCAAGCGACAATAACAACGCATGCTAAAATGCAAAGACTCATGGGTAGACGCTTGTTTGTAACCAACGACACGCTATGGCCATCTGACGCATGCGCAGGTGAAGTCTCCCCCGCTTTAATATTGTTGCATAACGCACAGCCAAATGTTGCAAATGATGTAGCTAGACATTCGAAATGTCTGTGTTTAAGTGTGTAATCTGTATTGCGCTGTGAATAACTATTGTAATGTGTGCAATTAGATGGTTGTTCAAAAATTCACACAAAGAACATATTTTAATTAAAATGCAATAACTGCCTTCATTTAACAACACAGTTTCGTCATATATGTATTCATGACATTGAAGGGGGAAGTCCGGGCAAACAACATAATGCTTCCAGATTAAAGAGGTCCGTATATGAGACTGCAATTTACAGGTTTTTTTTAAACTTTTCATTCTCTAAATGTTCAACTTTTCATCATTATTAAGTAGTCCACCATTTTGATTCTCCAACAAAGGATTGTGGGTGAATTATGACATCATATCCGCTATTGTGAAACATTGAGAACATGATTTACATAGATTCAAGTCGTTTATATCAAAGGAGGAATGACGTCATTTCGACTTATATACGTATATATTAGACAAAATACAACTTTAGGTAATTCCTGGAAATATCAAAGTCTGTGTTACTCTGACTTTATGGAATGTTTTTGTTTTATGTAACAGTGAAATAAATGACAGGTTTGTCACGTGACATATAATTCCTTGCAAAATATTGAAGTGACCTTAATTTGTTTCAATACATTAGTGATATAACAATCATAACAGCTTGTGAATAGTAGAAAAAACATTCGTCCAATTCCTGCTGCCTTGTTGCCAAGGTGACGGGTGATCAGTATATCCGATACATACTAGGGCAGGTCACATAGACAGAATAATGATTAAATATCAATTGTATTCTCGTTGCTGTTTTTAATATATCAATTCCTTCCGCTCGAACTGTGATATTTTAGCCGTCTTGATAAACACGCTTTAAATTTAAAGGGCGTGATCATCGCGCCACGCATGCGCGAGATATATGTCTCATATAAACAAAGATGGCGATTTTGACTGTTGCGCACAGCAGCAAGTACAAGCTGAGAGTTTTGTTTTTTTTTTGGTGAATGGAAGATATCGAGGCGGTAGTTAGTGCAAGTTGGGCCCAGGACAAAACTTGTACTTGTTATTTCATTAGAAAAGAGCACTGGATTGTGGGGGAAATCTATGTTTATCAGCACAAATGTCGCACATGCGCGGCGCGACGATTGCCGCCCTTTAAGTATTTTAATTTCCAGGCAGTAAATATAAAATAAACTATTGTGAAACGGCTTGCCTTTCCCATCTCAGCGACAACTACCTGAGGTTCAATATCAATTATTGTTATTAATACTGTCAAGTTTACGAACGCCACTATTCGCATAATTGCAACTTGAAGGCATTGGAAATATAAACGCTGCCCGGAAACTAGGTCAAATACAATTAAATGTGATAGGAGAATGCTCTATTTTGCAAGTAGCTGTTCCAGATGTTTTCCAGTAATGATATGTGATTCTTTTGTTACGGCTTGATTGTCGACGATTAGTGAACTAATGAATTATTGGTGACGTGTCTTCTTCTGTTCTTATCATTCGAGCGCTTACATCACGTATAGTGCTTTTCATTCGAGCCATCTGAAGACATATGACATAGTGACGCAGTATATATTCCGTGTATTATGTTCTCTACTGACGGTACTTATGCGACACTAGTGTACTGTGTGTTTTCGCGTATATATCAGATTAATTTTGTATGGAAAATATGGTTTGACATACCCTGAAATAAAACCGTTGTATTGGCAGAAAACACAGCAGTATCATAGCATGCGCTTTTAAATGAACGTGTATAGGATACATGCTCTTTTAATTTGTTCGTAATTTTATCAAACGAATATTGCCATGGCAACGTTTTCCCTTTCAGATACGGAGGCAATCATTTAAATATCAAAAATATTAAAAATATAAAAGTTGCAAATATCCGAACATTAGATCAGTATCGGCCAAATGGCCATCTTTCAAATAACTCGCAGATGACCAAAATTTAATGTGAAACATTTAGTTAATGGTCCATGTTACTTCATATACTGAAGAAATTAAAAGTGCCTTACTATCTTAAATTCACCTATTTTATTGTCACAAAACCTAAAAAATTCACGACCTCCCTATGGTTTTATTGTTTGGAATACACATACTGACGTCACGCTTCATTGTTATTGATATGATGTATAAACAGAAGTACCAAGGGCACACCATTGTCCGAGTCCAAGTAATATGTCGCCCTCTATGACGGCGAATTCGTCGTTCAGTTTTGTATAATTATATTGAGATACTGTGAAAGTGGAATGTCTGACGTATAAAACCATTTAGCAAAAGCCGCGTTTGAATAATTAAACTGTGAACATTTTGTATTAACGAGTGTCAAATAATTTTCCCCAATGTATGTTTCGTGATTCACCTGAATCTGACAGATTACTTCAATTAATCATAAAAGTCCAGGTGCTGCACAAGGACGGCCTATAATAGTTGAAATTGTAACAAGCACATAAAATCAAGATAATTGACATCACGTGACTCGTACGTCATCCATCAGTCATATTAATCATAGTTGCTGATAAAATCGTGATCTTCTTTCTAAAGTCCGACCAGTCACCTTATTCGAAACCAACACTTTGAAATCATCCCTATGTAAGGAGTTGTCAGGGCAACAAGCGCCACAGCGGCCAGTGCAATGACGGTGACGTCACTAGTAACCATAGTTACATTGGATGTAGCACTTTTGTTACAATTCTGTCCCGTGCAGCAAGTGGTACAAATGAAATCGCCATCTGATTTGCTGCACTCTTCGTTGCTATGCCTTATTTTCTCATCCTCGCATGATGCACCTGTTATACAACCTTTGGTCATTTGGATTGGTTCATATTCACTACCACCTGTAAAAATTAGCATATAAGAAATTATCACAATCGCGACCAAGGCGGAGCCGAGTGAAATCTTTACCGCATGTATATAAGTAGCTCGCGTCCAATTATCCTTACCTTCATACAGTATTTGTGTAAAGCACGTGTCGTATCCAAACGGACACGTCTGAACATCTGAATTCGTAGAACAATATTCAACTGAATCTGACAGAGCGCATTTGTAACAGTCCAAACAGGTAACTGAAAATGGAAAATATACTCAGTGTTAGCCACTATCATTTACAGTGAACTTGAAGGAACTTATTATTTTACCTATACACTTATTGAACTTATTATTTTAACCAACGTGACAGCGACGGACAGTGAAACAATCCGCGCCTCTGCCAAATAGTGCTTTTATATCACGTGATTATCTGCGCCAATTGCATGTTGGGGTGCGATGACCACAAAGGGCGTCACGAGCCTTGAGTATGAGCAGACGACATGATTTAAATAACACATATTCGCAAAATACATGTACATCGCAAAACTTTATCTATCAAAATGTTAATTTTTTGCTGAATCTATAAATACTAACATTTTAAGACAACGAATGAGCAGAGTGAATTCTTCTGAAAAAAACCCAGACGACATGACGTCATCAGACAAGATAGTACAACTGATTTAGCGTCCATCTATTTATCTCCAGACAACGTAGTCTCGTGTCGTACCGTGTCTCAGACGGCAGTGGATTAATGCGGTAATCAGTTGTAGACATTTACGTGTACCAAGCACCGTGTGTCATATGTCAATACACTATTACACTACACAACAAAAGTCACACGCACGTAAATCTAACCTACATGCACCGTCTCAGCACGGTTTGTAGAATTGCTAAAAACATAACATTATCTCGTTCACCGTAACTTCTTTGAATAAATATTTTTTTTTCTTTTTAACAGATAATCCTTTATTAACACCATAAAGGAAGCTATGACATTTCTGCAAATTACTAAAGTATAAAATTTATAAAAAGTTATAATAGAAGAAAGTGCAATACTATTAATAATGAAAATAATATTAATGTTATATGACACGAAGAAATTCTTGAATAAGTTTACTTTTTTTTTCTTTCTATATGTGATATGCTATAATTCTTTTACTAAAATATTCCTTGCATTTTTCTGATTAATAATTTTTCAAGTTGACTTATAGACAGCAAAGGCCGCTACAGTAATTATTAGATTCAGTGTTTCTGATTCTGTCTATACCAAATAAAATGATTGGGAATTCTAATGGAATCTTCTGGTTCATAGAAAAATTAACTGCTTCCCAAAATATTTGTGCACATGAGCATCCAAATATAATAAATATTATATTTTCGACGTTCCGACATTTCAAAATAGAAATATTAAAAATCTGACATGAATCAAAATATTCCTTTATGTATTATGCACCCGCTACTGTATGTGCGTGACATCTGGAAATTAAGTACTTCTTTCTCAGTCGCAGCTAACCTGACGCCTAACTAATCCTAACTCCGATGTCGAACAACGTACACATTGCCATAACCTATATAATATGCGTAATACCCATACTTATTATACATACTCACAGACCCAATTTAATCCTAATTGACCTCTGTGACGTCATATTGACGTCGTTATCGGATCCAAATCGATATTCAGACAGGTACACGTTGAATGTGAACGTACTTAGCTTGATGATGATTTTCGTCTCACTGGATAGCTTTGTAAAACTACGATGCGGGAGACATAGTGCACGATCTAGCATAATTTTTTTTATTAACAAATGTATATTGAAGTATGTACACCATACACTGTGTCTGAGTGTGCGGTCAGCGGTCATTGAACCCAAGCAGAGTGCAACGGTGGTCGCAATGCATGGTTATAGGCTTCTGTAGCGACACTTGCGACGCTGACACCTTGACTGCGCATGCGTGTGTGGTGACCATTTATAACGCCTTGAACGCTAAAAGTTCGAAGTAAAGAGCAAAGTATAATGACAATTTTCATTTAAAAACTTTGAATAATTTAAAATTAAGTCACAAATATGATTCACACTACTTTAATCCATGCAATTTATAATATACACTTGTGACATTCCGTCCACAACTGATCCTTGTGTGACGTCAGTCTGAAAGATCACCAATTGTTATCAAGTTAGCATAAATGTTACTCACTTGGCCCTGAACATGTGTAATGTAGCGATGTTCGATAATGAAAATTAGCATATACCACTCTAGAAACGAGCTCCATGTCAAACTTGTATTCAAATTGAGCTGCTGCCCTACAAAATTGACAACTGGTAGACAATTTTCAAGACGGCGCTTTCTTCATAGTAAACAGATGTACCCATAAACCAATTTTGACAAGAAACAGAAGCATAGTTTAGAGGCTAATTTTTTTTAAATCACTTTTGACCCAAAAAGCACATTTTTGTGCATATTTCAAACTA